TGATGTTAACCTTTTGTTGTTTGTGATGGAAGTCATGCATGGTATCTTGTATAATACAACAACAACAACAACATCAAGCCTTTATCCCACTACGTGGGGTCGGCTACATGAATCCTTTTTCTCCATTGTGTTCTATTAAAAGTCAAATTCTCGTTTAAATCTAATAAAGAAAGGTCATTCCTAATATTTTCTAACCAAGTCTTTTTAGGTCTACCCCTACCTTTCTTAACATAAGTCAAATCTAATACCTCTACTCTCCTAACCGGGTCATCGGAAGGCCGCCGTTTTATGAAACAATAATCATGACATCGTGGTAGTACACTCTATGATTGGATAGATTCAAATCCATAATTGCACTAAAAGCATTTGATATATTCTACCAATTATTAACACCCATAATTTGACGTAATACTACATACAAAGTCATTATAACATAAGAAAATGATTCATCATATTTTTTGGATTGGATATAACATCAACCAAAGTAGCCACAGAATATAATATGAAGTTCTTCTTGAAAGATAGAATAAGGAGTAGTCACAAAGCACCATACAACTAAGCAAAACCAAAAGAAGCTCAATATTGTATCATAAAACATCACTTTTTATGGCTTTTAAAAAGGCCCCTTATTGAATATTTCTTTTGTCGGTAGTGGTCTTGAAATTTTCTCTTTTGCTGATATCCTCAAGTAGCTTTGCAACATGCAAGAATAGTCACGCATCTTTATTGATTTTGGATTACAAACTTGTTCCATAATGGTGGCCATCTGTGTCAGAGTACCTATGACAGGTACTAACGTAGCTGAATTTTGAACTCATGCTAAACATGCATTAACCAACTATGAGATTTGATTCCTTTGGAAGCTAGACTCATAACCTCTATTCTTCCCACCACATGTATCATATGTGGTTGGCCTCTTATATATAATATCAGTTGATTAATCCATATTTTTCACAGTTCATTTTCTGATGCATTAGAACAAACTTTCTTAATGGAGTTTCTAAGTTTATTCATGTCATCTGGCAGCTTTCCCATACTTGTGGTCCATGTATTATCATATAAACCAACAATGTTTCTTAAGATTATATCTAATTCCTCTTCTAACTCTGGATAAATGCAATAATTTCTAAATATCGTTTGAGCTGGCAGACAAATATACCAAATATACTTTATTAGCAACACATAATTCAATTTGAATTTCCACCAAACTTTAGGTGCATTAATAGTCATCACTTTGGGTTCCATCCTAAACATGTAGACCCTCGCTTTAATTCCTACATAATTTTCAATACTTTTTGAGTTGGCTCACCTCATTCTTTAGCTGTGTTATATCATGCACTCTTCGTGACCTCTCGGAATGGAAAAATAGCCCATTGTTGGCTGAAACTAGATTTTTGCTACATCCATTTACTCAAAAAATCTCACCGTAAATGTTTTTTGACAACCTTTTTTTTTTTTGAAAAAAATACATTTCTAGTGAATTTTTTCCATCAAACTTTAATATTTTTTGTTGTGATATCTTTCTCACTTGCACATAGTTGCAGATTAAATATGGCAGTACAAACATTACTAAATAAGATAGGAAATGGGATTAGAAATCATTTAATTCATTAAAATTCCCAAACTAATATGGTAGCCTGGTAGGCTAGCTTAGCTAGAAGTTAGGCAACATTGGCTTTAAAATGAATTCATAACTCTATTCAAAGAACAACTAAATGAAGATAACAATAATAACAACTCAAAATTAAATTTGAGGAGATGACTAGAATTGTCTTCGAAGAACAAAACTTTGAAAGCCACAATTTTTTGCTATTCTTTTCTATGTATATGCAAAATCAAAGTGGTCAATTTCTTAATTATTTCTCAAGAAATTAAATATGTCTTCCATGTGAAAGAAGATAATCATAAAGAGAAGCATACAAATTAACACATCAAATTAAGAGGAAGAGAAAAAATTTAACTTCAATGTCAAGCAATGATAGCTGAAATGGAAAAAAATGGTACATTTAATTCTTTAAATTATAAAGACTTTTATGTATCTTATGCTATCATATCATTCATCTTGCATGGAAACCTGCAAACCAAATAAATTATAAATGAAACAAATTACACACTTCGGTATTCATAATTACTTTTATACATAATCTCCAACCAAATTTGTCAACTGTTAATTATTTCTTTATTGTTTTCAATCATTTTCACTATTTATGTGATGCAATGCAAAAGGTGTGGGAGTTCATAGGCCTTTGGGACCATCCAAAGGCCCAAATGACCTTAAATTTTTAAGTTGACCACAATGTCCAGTTGTGATATATGAACAACGCGCCCCCCCCCCCCCATTTGATGGTCCTCTCCTTTTGAGGGTGATTACAGGCAAATGTTACTGTTTTGGTTATTAAATTAATACATTTATGATTTTTAATGGAATTTAGGTGCTAATTTTGACAAATTTTCATTAATTTCTTGTTTGCTAATAATGTTTGTAATGCATTTGTTGAGGGGCACCTCTTAGGCAACTCAATCTTCTTCTACTTTTCCATATTCTTTTAATAAACTTGTCATTGAACATGTGTTTTTTTTTTTTTTTTCATTTTGTTAGGGATGAATCTTTTCTACCTTTACCTAGATTAAGGAGGAATCTTATATGACAAACAATTTTTTCTTTAAATGTGTTATGTATGATCACAAAGACATAATGGAGATCGGCATGGAAGATAACATTTTTTGTGACATGTTTTTAGCTTAAATTTAAATTATAATGCAAAGTTTTTATGAGATTGCTTAATATGACCATACCCCCATCAAAGCCTGGTGTTCCCGTCCATGCATTTTCAGTCAGAAAAAAAAATGTATCAAGGGTTTTCACACTAAAATTTATTAACAAGGATGAACATTTAATTAAAATAGTCCAGTATTTTTAAAAATATAAGATAATTATATTTTTCTTAAAAAAAAAATTTTAAGTGTTGTTGTGTAGTGCTTCAAAAAATATAAGCCCTGGATTTTTTTTTTTCAAAAAATATAAGCCCTAGAATAAAAATTAGGATTGCAAATGAAACGAGCGTTTATAAGAGCTCATTTATGTTCGTTTGATAAGCTAAATGAACGAGCTTGAACATTTTTTATAAATACTCGATAGCTAAATAAACAAGCTTGAACAACTCATAGTTCTGTTCATTTATGTTCACGAAAAATATCGTTTAGAGCTTATGAACAAGCTCATTAAGAAGCTCGATTAAGGCTCATGTTCAAGGCTTGTTTAAAGTTCTATTAGAGCTCGATTATGCCTTATTTAAATAAAAATAAATATTGTATCTTATTTGACTAATAAAATGATTAAGTCTCACGTTATTTAACCAAAATTTTAAAAAATAATATAAAAGTACTGTTTTTAATTATCCTGCTTGACCAGCTCGCCTCTCTCTCTATTACGTTTCCTGTTTTTCATTATCCTGCCCGCCAAAAAATTCCCGCTTACCCTCTCTCTCTCTCTCTCTCTCTCTCTCTCTCTCTCTCTCTCTCTCTCCTTCGTGGCATCAGCATAACTAAAAAAAACAGTGGGAGTTCAGTCCCACACCGCCTGGACAAGTGTCATTTTACTCTATAAAAAAACATGTACCAACCATTTGCTGAACAACGGGTAATTGGCGGATTCAGCATGCTGGTTGGGTTTATTTGCGATTTCATTTTTTCTAGACGAACCGAAATTCACCAGTTTGTTAACGAGCGGGTCAATGAGGCTTGTTAACGAGCGGCTCAATAAGCCTAAATAATTGAGCTCGAATGTTAATATGAGCTGAGCTCGAGCAGGGGTTTTTAAATGAGTTGGAGCTTGAACAGAGGCCATAAAAACTCGATTCTTATCGAGCTGAACTCAAACAGGATGCTGCCAAACAAGCTTGAGCTTGAACATGCTAAAGCTCATCTCGACTCAGTTCATTTGCAACCCTTCTAAAAATCTATAATAATATCTAAATATGCACTCAATCATGTTTTAAGAAATCTCTAAAATTTGGAATCTATAAGTTCTAATAATATAAAAGATTAAGCCCTATAAATCTAATCATCCAAGTGCCATAATAAATAAAAAAAAGGAACTCAAAAAATTTACAAATAAAAAGAGAATTATTCTAAATATGTAGATCTAAAGTGAAATAAGAAAGGAAGCGATTGCTTGAACTTGGAAGCTTTGTGGAAGAAGAATATCCATTGATTTTTTAGAAATACGTAAAAGAAGAAAGTAAGATTGTGAATGAATTTCAATCTAAACCAGACATAAAATGGAAGAGCGACGATTTATAAAGGTCCAAGGGAGGGGAATGGGGATGTTGACAACATCAAGAGATAGCTAGGGCTCCGAACGCCATTTAACTGAGAGAAAATGAGGGTAAGACATTAGGTTACTGTTGATTTTATTTTCTAGCAGTAAGTTTACAAAATAGTTTTTTTTTTTCTCTTGAAGCTAATCATTTCTAGCAAAAAAATCTGTTAGAAATCTACCGGTAATGAATATCAACTAATTTGTGACAAATTTCAAAACCGATTAAATTCCCGCTGTAGTTTTTAGTGAAACATTCCGTCGATATTTGTTTGTTTTCCTTCAGTATCTTTTTAAATATTTAATTAAAGCATCCTTTATTGAAATGACTGTTTTGTTAGTTTCCTAGCTTGACCGCTCTAAATTAAAGAAAATAAAACATCTTTTTCACATCTCTTTCCCGTTGCAGATGCACCTCTATCCTTTGGCTTCCCCATTGTAAGATCTTATTGAGAGAAAACACATGCATATAACTTCGTATCATATAATTGTAAAGCACATTCTGTGGATACTCTACTACAAACAACTCTTTTTTGCTAATCTCAAAGAGACCATTAGCCAAACTCTTTTTGTGAGCCTAATCTCTTTTGGAAACGTGGATGTGCTGTTAGGTTGTTTGAGACTTAGATATTACATCTTTATGAATTGACAAAGCTTGGAACTAATTTTCTCTTGATTGCAGATCTATGTTGTTGATTCTTTGGACAGAGAAAGAATTGGAAAAGCTAAAGCTGAGTTTCAGGTTTGTTTCAATTAGATGTTTGTCTATTCATTTGATGGTGGTGTGCAGGCATATTTTTCACTATCTGTTAATGCTTTTCGCTAATACTGATATGGTGCCATATCATTTGTTATCAGGCTATTATCAATGATCCCTTCATGCTCAATAGTGTCATACTAGTTTTTGCTAACAAGCAGGACATGGTAAGTTTTTAGCTCCTTTGCTGGAGTGTCAGTTTAAATGAGTTCATCAGCTTTCTGGTCTTAGACAGTCTTTTATCACACCTTTATTTGTGCCAAGTTTTATTGTTATTTGTTGTTACTATCAATATGTTCAAATCTTAATGGCTCCATTCACTGAAGAAACTACATACCAGTGGCTATCTATAATAACCATTCATGCATGGAAAATCAATTTAAACAAAAACAGCATAGCCGAATTCAATGGCTGAAGGAATGCGTTATCATCTCTTTTAAGAGCATCTCCAACCGAACGTCAAACATGCGTATGGCGTAGTTCGGTCGCTCCAGTGGAATGCCAAATCTTCTGCTATTTGTTTGTGGGTGAACAGTACAACGCCAATATTGGCGTTGCACTGTTCACCAACGTGATTTTTCTTTCTCAATCGGATTTGTCGAAGAAACGCGCCAAAGAGGAGAAAGACGATTACCTTCGCAGAAGCCCGCAAAATGAAGTTCGATTGGAGATGAATCATTGCATTTTGGAGTGAAAAATAGGATTTTCCGTTGGCGATGCTCTAAGGATGGCTTAGGTACAAAGTTGCTACGTTGTTCGGCATTTGAATTCAGCTGATTTGTTTATGCTTAAATAGAATCTCCATTCATGTGTTAATAAATTTTAAGGAAACAGAAAGGTAAAGTTACGGCATTGGTCATCTTTTGTTAAAACTTTCTCATTTCCATTTTCACCTCGTATGTCCAGAAAGGAGCAATGACTCCAATGGAGGTCTGCGAGGGGCTTGGTCTATATGACCTTAAGAATCGAATATGGCATATTCAAGGAACCTGTGCTCTTAAAGGTGATGGCCTATATGAAGGTTTGGACTGGTTGGCAAGTACACTGAAGGAAGTACAAGCTACAGGACGAGCAACCTCCATCGGAACTTCTACATTCTGATCCCTAAAGGTTCAGGAATCTCTCCTCTTGCTGCTGCTTGAGATCTGACTCCAGATAACAGTGAAATAATGCTATTTATTTTGGGACAATGCAGGAACTGTGTGGCCGTATGTATACCATGACAGATTGATGAGATTTGTGAGAACGCCCACAAGTAAATGCAATTTGTTTTTTTAGTTTTTAGTTGTGTTGGAGCTAACTTTGATGAAGGCGAGTTTCTGTACATACATTTTACAGGTTTTTGGTGTAATTTTGTTTGCATGCTCGGAAGCTCGTAGGCATCATTGCTTTAAGATTAACAAAGGAAAACTAACAATGTGAGGGCTAATCATATATCTATAAGCATAATTAAATAGATTATTAGAATTAACATATATTAATGATTCTCGCTTATTATGATGTTCAATAGTTTTTATTTCTCTGTTTCTTCATAATAAAATATGAAATGATTATAAATATTTATATGTAAAATGTATTTATAAAATATTGAAACTTTTTATTCCTTCTATCAAAGCTACTGAAAAAATCTCTTCCTCTTCGCCTTCTCCATTCTTTGTTAGGGGCATTATATTCCTTCTACCGATTAGATATTTGCATAAATTCTTGAGTATCAAAATGATTTCTATAATAACAGGATTTACTTTAATAATCGTTGACTCTATTAAACAATGTAAAATTTATATCTAAAAATTATATCTTATGATGAGATTAGCATTAATTATCATGTTAACTAAACATAACTTATTGAATGCTTAAGTTATTAGAATGTGTGTGCATGTTATAACGACTACCAAATGTTTTTATATCCTTTCATTATGTTGATTGTTATTGTGCCAGAGTGGTGTATAAACTTTTGCATTCGAAGTGTGATACCTTAAACCCAATTATTTTTTTATTTGAGCTAAAATAGTTAACCACTAAGTCAAAGTAGGTTGTATGTCTAAACATTTAATAATATAGTTACACAAGATGCTATTTTAGTTTACAATGACAACAAACAATAACATCAAGCCTTTATCTTATTATGTGGGGTTAGCTGCATGAGTCATTTTTCTTCATTGTGTCTTGTTCATAAGAGTCAAATTCTTCTTTAAATCTAATAAAAAAGATAATTTCTATTATTTTATAACTAAGCCTTTTTAGCTCTATATCCACCTTTTTTTAACATAAGCCGAATCTAATACATCTACTTTTTGAATTGGATCTTTGGAAGGCTAGCATTTGATGTGACCAAACAATCTAAGATGACTTTTTCTAATCATATCTTCCACTGGATCTACTCCAACATTTTCACATATATGCTCGTTTTGTATCCTGTCTCTAAGAGTAAAGCCACTCATTCAACTGGGCATCCTCAACTCTATAACCTTTAACTTAATATTATGCTTCTCTTTTAATGGCCAACATTCTACACCATAAAGCATTGCATGTATCACCACCATTTTTTAGAATTTTCTCTCAACTTTGAGGAAGACTTTTCTATCACACAACAAGCCTGATGCATTCCTCCACTTCAACTATCCAACTTAAATTCTACTAATCATATCCCCATGGATTTCACCGTCACTCTAAACCATAAACTAAAAATATTTAAAATGTGTACTTATTAAGGAGTTGATCACCCAAAGTCACAATGCATCCACTAGATCTATTACAATTAAAATTATGCTCAATATATTCAGTTTTAAATCTACTCAAACAAAAACTTATAAACTCTAAAATTGACATTCATAATTCAAGGTTACCTTTAACTCCCTCTATAGTCTTATCAACAAGAAGAATATTATTTACAAAAAGCATACACCCAAGTACAACCTTTTGCAAATGTCTAGTGAGAACATACACCATAATACAACCTTTTGCAAATGTCTAGTGAGAACATCAATGACTAAAGTAGTATGATATGGGCTTAAGGCTAATCCTTGATGTAATCTTGGGCGGATCCACCCATGGCTTAGGGTGGGCAAATGCCCACCCTCAAAAAAATTTTTTTTTTAATATTTTGAGGGGAGATTTTGAAATATTTTAGATATTTTGGGTATTTTAGGAATTTTGCCCCCCCTCAAAAATCTTTTTTGCCTTATTTTTATCAATCCCTCACAAAAAATTTTTTTTTTGCCCACCCTAAAAAAAGAAGTTGGATCCGCCCCTGAATGTAATCCAACTGAAATAGGAAAATACTTAGTCAAACCACCTTGTGTTTGAACACAAGTAACAACTTTATCATATACTTTATATAAATCTCTAAATATCATATGAATATCCTCTTTATTTTCTGTATACTTTTCCATCAAACCTCTTAATAAATGTATAGCTTTCATAGTAGACCTACCCGACCTGAATCCAAAGTGGTTTTGGGAAACTTTAATATCATGTTGCAACCTATGCTCCATAATTATCTTTCATAATTTTAAAGTATGATATATTAACTTAGTTTTTCTATAATTCGCACAATCTTGTGTATCAGATTTATTTTCTTAAAAATAAGAATCAACACACTCATCATTCACTCATCTGGCATCTTTTTAGTTCTCAAAATAATATTAAAAGGTTTAGCAAACTAAAAAATTTCTATATTTTATGTTATTTGATTTTAAGTGCAATAAAAACATTTTTTTTTTACAAATTTAGATATTTGATAGAAGCTTCCCTAGTATTTATGTTAATAAAAATGATATCAAAATATCTTGATGTTAATTACATAAAATTAGTATAATCTAAATTTTATATAATATTAATTTCAAATCAAATTTAATAAATTTCAAATTTACTTTAAAATAATTTATATCAGAATGAATATGGCGGTACAATTCTTGTCCTTTTTATATTCGTTGGGTTATCAATCATCGTTCAAATGTTCAATAACCGGATAAGATGATAATAGGGGGATTGCCTTCAGAGCGGTGAGAGTTCTAACTTCTACCTAGAAGGAGCGTTCGGCTACTCTAGAGAAGGCGCAATGGCATCAGCCAGCGGATCTCTTGGCTTCGTCTCCTTGCTGCGGGCACCATCCGTCGCATCCCAGCCGTCAAACCGCCGGTACGGGTCCACCATCGCCGTCTCCCGCGGAACAGGAATCTATGCGAGGTTCGAGCGGCCACTGGAAGAGATCTACAACGTGCGAGTTGAGCGCGGGGTGTCGAAGGAAATGCTGGCTAACCTGGGCGTGGAACGTTGGTCAACGTGGAAGACTGGGAAGTGCCGGTTTCCTTGGGACTGGCACGTTGATCAGCAGGTCTACGTCGTCTCCGGTGAGGTACGAGTGGTGCCTGTGGGAGCCAAGTCCGGCGAACGCTACATGCGCTTCGTTGCCGGAGATCTCGTCCGCTACCCTAAATGGTTCGAGGCCGACCTCTTCTTCGACGGACCCTACGAGGAGCGGTACCGCTTCCGCGCCTATGGTGATGATTGAAAGGGTTTGGTTGCCATCCATTTCTGTAAGGTAGATAAAATGTGGCTTTTTTTATTCTGCTTTTTATGGAATATATAGTTTATTGGCCTCTATTGTTTCATGCGTTATTCTTGTGTTGGTTGTGCTAATTAATGGCTCCAGTCAAAAATACCGTTTTGATTTAATTTGGGCATTTGTTAAGAACTTTCATCTCAATTGTCAAGGATGAATGCAATTCATTTGAGATACTGCTTTGCTAAAGAGTCTTCTCAATCTTTGAATTGCACAAAGATACTCTAGGTTGTACCTGTACTTTTCCTTCAAAATACCCATGTTCATGCTCAAAAAATTAGATTCTACACCCTCTGCTCATGCCCAACGATATTTGGAAAGGCTTTAGTATGATTTGTACTAGGCTTGTCAATGGTGCAACGATAGAAAAATTATGTGTTTGTGGGCATCGATTGTTTCTCCAAAATGGTATTTTTTTTTAAGTATATTGGAAGACTGTGGATGCTATCAATGTGGCAAATATATTTTCTTTGGAAGTTGTTCGACTTTATGGCATTTCAAAGTCTACCACACCCAATCATGATGAAATTTATGAGTCACTTTTGGCGTAGTGAGAAGTTCGACACAACCAAACTCTTAGCAATGCTTATCGTTCCTAGATGGTTGGGCAAATAGAGGTCATCAATAGCATGCTTGGCTCCATGGTCAGAAGCCTCACTGATGACAAACTAGAGCAATGGGATCAAGTTCTCACTTAAGTCAAATTTTCCTTCAACAATATGATTAATTGATTCACTGGTAGGTTTCCCTTATCCTTTGTTTGCACCAAAGTGCCATCATTAGCAGTTTACTTAGTTGAACTTCCAACTTTTGCAATGTAAAAATCAGTCGAGCAACTTGCAGAACAAGTTCACAGTATCTCTGAGGAAGTGAAGCAAAAGCTGGGACAATCCAAATTATTTTTAAGGAGACTGAATATTGTCACCAGTGTCATAGAGTGTTCAAAGAAGATTACCCTTTAATAATCCATATAAACAAGCTACGGCAACTGTGGGAACATTTGACTAGCTCTATACCAGGAAGATTTGTTCATTTGCAATCAAAAGAAAACTCAGTGACAGTGCTTATATAATTGGCTTGCCTGACAAATTAAATTCTCAAAAAAATTTAATGTCAAAGATATCTTTGAGTGCCACCCTCCAAATAAGGCTGAGATTGTCGAAATGAACTCGGAGTTGAGTTCTTCTGAAGACCAACAAGATTAATGCTGCCCCGTCAGCATCAAAGCATTGGAGCTCATCTCCATGATGTCATTTGTTATTTTGTCTCGCCTATCTCTTCGTTCACGGCATCTCTACGCCTATCATCTGCACTAAGGCACCATTCTCTTTGCCAACTCCATTGTTTCTTCTTGTGTAACTCTTCATCGCTTATGTTGTGGTATCTACCGCAGTGTCTTGACACCGTCTGTCTTTCAACTGCATCAAGCGACTCCTGTGCCATGTTACCCACTAACTCTATTGTTTTCTCATTTTGGTAATGAAGTTGTTATTTCTTAGTAGTCTTGTTGCTTTAAGTAGTCTTGTTGACCTTTAACTTGTTATTTTTCATTTAGCTTAGGATATATTTGTTATGGCAGAGAAGAAATGATATTGTATTTTGTTCTCTTTGAGAGGAAAAAAATTTTTTTTCTTGGTTTCCACCATTTCACCTCATTGAGCTTTGGATCTACACTAGTCATTCACTCTCACTCTCTTCCGATCAGCCCCTTCTTCAACAATAGTTATTATTAGTCAAGCAGACGGATGATTTGATTTCAATGTACATGGGCATTTGTTCTGTAATTCCTTTAGGAAAGGTTAATTTAACTAAGCTCAACCTGTTACTAACTTACTATACAAGCACAGCTCTCTTTATAAAAATACATATGATACTTGTTAGATGTGCATTGTACATTTTAAAATCACGCTGAATTCTTTATGCGAAAAGGACTAGGTAGAAATGTTGACCGTGGTGATTAAAAAGGAACATTAGCAAATAATTTATGTAAGCCTAAGAAAACCATAAGATAAAAATTTCTTTCTATTCATCATAAATGTTATAAATTATTATATTTTTAATAGTATAATTAATAACACTGACAAACTTTAAATATGTTGTGTTTCTAACCAATCTTAAGAATCATAGATAGAATATTTTTACCCAAAATAAATATATGTAAATTATAAATTTTAGAAGAAAAAAGAAGTTAACTTATATGAAGTAAGTTTAATATAACAAGTATGAGAAACGATTTTCTCTCATGCACTGTTGTTAGACGATCTTGGATTTTTGACTTTCTAAGCATTCATCCCTTTAAGTTAGTGGGATAGTTGATGTAGAAAATCTATGGTTTAAAAAGGCTTTTGTGTCATACGCCTTGATACGCCTCGAGGTGCGCCTTGATTCAAGGTCGAGTACCTCCTTTGACTAAGTAGACCAACGACCACGATGGCCCGGGACGACAGAACCATGGGATCTTGATTGGGTCCATCATCCATTCTCCCACCATCCGCTTTAAGTGCAAGATGGTAAAAATTTCTATTTTAAATATCAAACATTGAACCTCCAACATCCAAACTTTCCAAATTCTCAAATTCCAAATACTCATGCTGCTTCTCTATGTCAGATAACACATATTCTTTACGTATCTTATTGACGACTAGCCTTAATCGAAAGTTCGGGAGGGGTAATTCACTATAGGGGCTTGCGCCTATAGGAAACCAGAACTCAGATCATAAAGTCCTCACAAAATGAGGGCGAAATCTCTGGGTGGTGTCTTATCTACAAACACATATGCCTTCCCAAAATTTACCCCGGAACTTAATCCGTTAAAACTCCCCCGAAGAAAGAAAAGTAAAGCGGGCGGAGGCCGGGGCCGAATTTTCGGAACCCACAGTTGTTATCATGCTAGCAAAGTATTAAGAAACTGGCATACTACTAGCTTGCTAATAGTACAATATTGCTCAAAGGCTTTTATAGGTGATATGAAGTAGTGGAGTGCAAGTTGTGTATAGGATAGATTATACGAAGTTGCAATATCCTTTATTTTATTCCCAAGCAGTGAGATGAACATTCATGGTATACAAACTTTAATTTTATATGTAAATTCTGTTAATATAATCTACATGTACTCTTGTATGTAATCAATGATGGTGTAACAAGGTAAGGAAGGTATTTCTGGATATTTTTTAATCAAGTAAGTTACTTTCTTAAAGAAAATTTTTGATCATATTTTAGCTGCATTGGATAAGATTTATTGCTATTGTGGTTCAGCATGTTCATTAAAATATATTAGGTAGTGAAATAGAGGTGGAAAATTAAGAACATACACTAAAATAAGTTGAACAAGTAGTGATTTAAGATTCAATGTCAGATTAGTAATCACGTTTAGCTTCAAATTCTTAAAAAAAACTACAATTTTTATGCTGGTAAAATGCACGAAAACATATCATTTTAGGTTGGATTGAAAACATATCATCATTATGAATTTTCTGCTAAAATAATTGAGCAGAACTTGTCAATTTAGCATAAATAAATCTCTGCATCTTTCATTAATTTGTCATGTGGTATTTAGTGAAAGTATTGTCTTCATCGTCTAAACATGTTAATAAAGCATTAGAATTTTGCTGACGATTAAAAGTGGAGATATAAGCCAGATAAATATAAAAATTATTAGATGGCAAAATTGTGGATATTCTTTTTTTGATATCTTTTGTTAGAGCTTGAATCAACTATTGACATCTTTTCAATATTTCCGGTAAAATTATCACTAACTTTGGTGCTAAACCTTTTATTAAATATTCATTGGCCATGATGATATTATAGTTCTACCGACATGATATGAAGATATCCCAACTAAGATGACTGACAAGATCTACAATTTTTGCTTCATTTGAGACAACTTTCTTACTGCTTTTAAAATCAACTTTTTTGTACAAAAATTTTTAGTTTAAGATATTTTTGCACAAAAAAAATTATTTTAGAAAGTAGTAAGAAAGTTGTCCAAATGAAATCCTATATGAATACATTTAAGTTATTTTGTTGACAATAGGATATACTCATGTACACAATTGAAATTTTATCTACCATCAATTAAGTTAATATGAGTGTCACGGTCACATCAAAGTCAATGAAATCTTTTAGTTATATCGTAGGGTTGGCAGCCTATTTACTTTGCGAAGATATTCTTCTTTTTGGTGGAAATAAATGCAGTTAAACATATGCAATAAGATTCAAATTATTTAGGGGAGGTTTCTATACTTAGACCTATGCATGATACAATATTTAAAAATAAAAATATATATATCATTTGTCAAAAACAAGAGGTTTGAGAAGAAAACCATGCTTTATTCCATGATTTCTTCCCTATTTATAATCTATACAATAAATCTTAATACAAAAACAAACAATTACATAATAACTTTAATAGAATCCTTCCTAAATCAGCTACTCGAACATGGAAAGAATTCTGATGTGAGTCATGCGTCCCACAGATCATGCACTGTAGCTATTGGATCTTATCTATGTTGAACGACTGGATTTTAACACATATCAATATAGCCATTATCAAAATATGAATCTTAATATATTTATTTTTCATATCCTATTTTTAAGGTTTTAATATGTTCACCATCTTTCAATATTTCTTGTAAAATCTATCACTAAGGGTGTTATATTATAGTTCTAGTTATATGTTATGAAAAGGATATGAAGATATATCAAATGAGATGACTAACAATATGTGCAATCTACATGAAGTTTTTTGTTCTTATTTTACTTGCAATAGGATATGCTTACACAATCCACATTCTTTATGCTATCAACTAGTTCATATGAGTGTCAAGATTACATCAAAGTATATTAGATTGACAATATATCCTCCCTTGGAAAATACTCTTTTCAGTGGCAACAAACACAGGTAAAGGCATGCAACAATATTCAAATTATTTCATTGGAGGCTCCTATTGCTTAGACCTTCAATCCAAATGTCTTACTACCTTAATCATAATGCATCATCAAATATTGGCTTGTTGATGTCCTTAAAAGAAGATAATTCAAGTACTTCTTGAGTATAAGAAGGATGAATGCCCTGCAAGGAGGTTTGCCTTAACCCAGTTTTCTCTTGTGTTTTCTTTTGAGGAGACCTTTTATTTTTTTGGTGTTGCTTGTAATTAATACTGTTGTTGTATTGTTTGTCACTGTACAAGAACTGGCTAAACGTGCAGGCCTTATGTGATGCTTTTTGATTTGTCAAAGACTTAGGCTTAGGTTTCGCTTGGGGCTGTTTTTTTACTATTTTCTTAAGCAGTTTTTTAGCATAAAATTTTTTTGTACTAGAAAGTTGTTTTAGAAAGTATTAAGAAAGCCGTTCCAAATGAAGTCTTAGGCTTCGTTTGGGACTGCTTTCTTTATGCTTCTTAAAGCAGGTTTTTAGTACAAAATTAAAAATTTTTATACTAGAAAGCTGCTTTAAGAATTTGAAAAAAAGCCGTCCCAAAGGAAGCCTTAGGCTATTTGGTACGGCTTTTTTACTGCTTCTTAAAGCAGCTTTATAGTATAAAAAATTTAATTTTTAAACTAAAAAGTTGTTTTAAAAAGCAATAAAAAAGTCATTCCAAATGAAGCCTTAGTTTGGGATAGCTTTTTTGTTGCTTTTTAAAATAATTTTTAATGCAAAATTTTTTAGTTTAAAACAACTCTTGTGCTAAAATTTTATTTTAGAAATCAGTAAAAAAGTCAAATGAAAGCTGTCGAAAATTAAACCGTGATGTCATGATTCAGCTTTTACAAAAATGGTAAGATAGAACTAGGGCTGCAAGCAAGCGAACCAAACGTTCGACGAGGTACTCATTGTTCGGTTCGATTAAAGCTCGTTTGTGATCGTTTAATTAACTAAACAAACAAACTTGAACAATATTATAAATACTCAATTCTTAAATAAACAAACTTGAACATTAATGTGTTCAGCTTATTTATGTTCACGAACAACATCATTTGAAGTTCGTGAACAAGCTCGATATTAAGCTCGATAAAAGTTCGACTCGTGTTCGATTTTGAACTCATGAATAAGCTCGATAAAAATAATTAATATTTGACTATAAAATTAATAAATATAAATAATCATTGCCTTTGTTACATAGACAATTGTTTTTATTATAAATATGTTTGTTCATAGATATGTTCATGAACGTGTTTGTTTGATAGTTAAAAAAATTTCATTAAATATGTTTCGCGAATAAGCTCGATAAGCATTAAACGAACGAACATGAACTGAACATGAATCGAACATGACCACTCATAAATTTAAATGAACCAAACATGAACACAACAATAAATCCCGAACAAACATGAACCAAACTTGAACAAGCTGATATTAAATGAACACAAACATGAACACTCACATACTCGACTCGGTTCGGTTCGTTTGCAGCCCTAGATAGAATGCCCTAGATAGAATGCACTGCATTGCACGTGCGCCTCATCCATAACTTTACGACACCTATGAGAAATATACATGTAGAGTAAATTGTGCCTCTGTGAGAGTAATGATATTATTTTTGCTAAATAGAGCTATAGGAGAATACTATAATATTATCAAATGTGGTCTCATTGGGGTCCTAATCCGTTTCCTTTCAGTACAGTTTTAAAATTATGAGTTACAACATGTGATTTTAAAAAAAAAAATTAAGTGAAATATTTGATTAATAGATTAAATTTAGAATTTGTATAAGAAAAAACAAATATTTGTACTTATTCTGAAAATAAATATTAAATTTAAAGATTCATCAGATTTTTAAGATACTTGGGCTCATAAATTGTTTATTTTACATTAAAAGAAACCTCAAGGCATAGAAAGTTGGCCATTAAAAGAGAACATAAAATTAAATATTATGGAGATAAGGATGCTTAGATGGATGATTCTTAAGAACATAATGTGAAATGAGTATATATGTGAAAATGTTGGAATAGCTCTAATGGTTAATGAGATTATATAGAGTTGTCATAGATGATTTGACCATATAAAACTTTGGCTTTTCAATGACTTGATGAGTAATATATTAGTTCCGGTTTATGTTGAGAAAGGTATAGATAGATCTAAAAAAAATTGGTTAGAAAGTATTAGGAATTGCTTCTTTTTATTTGATTTAAGGTTTCATTTGGGATGACATGTTTATTGTGTTTTTATTTATTACAGAGTTTTAGTACAAAAATTAAGGCTTCATTTGGTTATACTTTTTAAAATTGTTGTTTGAGAGAACGGAGTTTTCTAATAGATAAATTAATATCATAAAGTTTTTGAAAACATTATAAAAATACAGTTCTCTAAAAAGTATTTTTGCAAAAAATAACACATACAAACATTAGCCAAAAAAATTTTTGCCGTTTTGAAATTGAAAAGTCAAAGTTAAGCCATCTCAAACTAGGCTTAAAATTTTTGTACTAAAACTATTTTTTAAGAAGCAATAAAGAAGCTGTTCAAAATGATGCTTAGATAATAGTTTGAATCTTAATAACACATAATGAAGAAAATTAATTTATGTTATCGATCTCACGTGGTGTGTTAAAGTCTTGATGTTATTAATGTATTACATTAATTATTAAAGAAAAAAATATTTATGCTAAAAATAAATATTACGGTGGTTACAAAGTTGAGGATATGATATTTTTTAATTACAAATAGATGATTAGTTTTATTTAAAGAATTATTTATTCATAAGCAATAGTTAAGGATATCCTGACAAAAGACTTTTGTTCGCTTTCAGGGCCTAAATCTGGACGAAAGGAACGCGATCTGCACGAGCTATAATGTTCATTATAGGGAAAAGTCACTTGTCTTATTCTTATTATCATGATGGGCTGCTAACTAACTAAAACTGTAAAAGCCATATGACGAACATTCTTGGAAATGCTCGACGTTGTAACGTTGCAATGGCATAAACTATGCAAGCGGTCATTTATTGATTCTTTAATGAGGCTTCGAAAGTTCAAAAAGGAATTATGGTATGACAATGCTGTTCAAATCTTGGATTTAAGTTAGTGAATCTTCTGAGCCTCAAAGCTGTTATATTCAGCTTTCAAATTTCACTCTCTCCTCACTTCTCTTCAACATTGTATCGCTATCACATTAGAATATATAAAAGAGATACAATTGAAACCACACAGGAACACAACCCGGCCTAAAGATAAACTAGGAAAAAAATTGCCCAACTAGCCTCGCAACACTGTGGCGCCAAGTGGTAGCGCCAAAACACTCACTCTTTGATTTCAACATGTATGACATCATCGTAGCATTGGGATTGGAGCCCCAGAACGTTCTCTAGCAGCGTCATAACACTCCACTTCTTTGTTTTTTTTTCCACCAAACTATGCAATTTCAGGGAGCTCGAGTACACTGTACTGGGGTGCTCGTGTATATAGCACTGTAGCGCTATACGAAAAAATTTTTCTAGATGCATATCACCCGAACCTAAAGCTTGGGGAGGATCCCCTGTAACCTCCAAATGAGCATGAAATATTGAATTGAGGTTCGAAACAACATAACAACTTAATTGATCAATACAATCAAATTTCACACAAAGCCAACAATTGACTCATTTGTTTATTAGCTTTGAGATAAGTGTGAAATAATTTTTTATGCATAATATTAATTTCAAAGTAAATTCAATTATTTTAACGTACCTCTATATTCACAAGCTACATTATATCAATTTTGTAGCGGTCTCAAAATAACAAAAACTCCCAAAATATTATATAACTACTAAGCTGCAAGATAAACTTTGCCATTTTAGTTTAGATTTGTGTGGCTATTGGATATTATATATAATATTTTACTAACTCAGATTGGCGTTTTTTTTTTTTTGAAATTAAATTAAATTTGGCATTCACCCACTATTTAGATTAATATATAATAGCTATTTAAAAAAATCTTTTTTGAGCCACAAATCGAAATATTTTCAATATTTTTATAATATCTAATAAAATTTAATTCGACTCACTGCTTTCTTCTTTTTCATACATTTATATGTTCAAAAATGGTAGCAAAAATATTGTTGAGTTTGAAAGATAATAGAAGCACTGTTATTGATAAGACTTAAGAGCAATACCTTGGCTTGAACCGGTAGGAACTCAAAAGTCAAACATTTCAATGTTAATTTAAGTAAAAATTTGTGTAGAGTAAAAATAAAGATTCATTTTGAATATATTTTAATTTATGTAGAAAACTTAAAAAGAGTAAAAAAAAAAAAAAATTATGGGATTTAGCTCAGTTGAAATAATTACACTAATGTTAATCATTTGTTACAAAAGATATATTTTCCCATGATTTATGATGGTGATGATATAATGTATTATGTATGAACTATGAATAATGGATTCCACGATGGAAGCTAGAAGAGCTTTTAGGTATTAGAGTTGTCTTCAATATATCACTTAAAATCAATTTTGCCGTTCTCTTTTAAGGAAATGAGATCATAACCCAAGAAGTCCTATAAGTAATTTTGTCAACGTTGGGATTCAAAGTTGATGTCGATGGTGATACACCTTCTTTGTGATGGCATGCATCAACGTTGTTAGCAAAGGCATGTAATAAAGTCATCCAGCTTCTTCGATGATTGTGTTAATGATGTGCATCAATCTTATAAAAGAGATTGTGTGTGTCGACATTATTGACAATGGCGAGTAATAAAGTCAGTGAGTATAATTGTGTTTTATGTCGTTGGAGTAAATTGACCTTATATGTGATGATGTGTGTTGGTATTGTTAACCATAACAAGTGATAAAATCGATGAACATCTGCTTTTAGGTGATAGTCTTAAAGAGATTATGGGTAACGATAGTTAAGATAACATAAGAGGGCTATAATAGTCTGGCAATGATTGTTGGAAGAATATAAATGGTGATCAATGGCAGTTAGAAGATTATAATCAGGTGAGTCTAGTTGGATGTCTGTGATTAGGTGACGACAGTTATTTGCGATAATCACCAATTTTGATCGTCGGGCAATGCACTCTCTAATGTCAATTCCGGATTTAGTAAGAAGTGCTCTCCTTTCATATGAATAATTAGGAGTGTTAGTAAATGCCCATCACGATAACTTGATAAGGACCTAGCTCAAAATATATATGTATGAGTTCACATGATTAAATTTTGAGTCAGATTAATTAGGCCCAAAACCCTAACTTGATTAAATTTTTATTTGGTTTAGGTTTACCCAAAAACTTGAGATTAACCTGATTAATTTTTTAGTTCAAGCAAATCGTGTTTGGTTTGGGTTATATTGGTTGTATTTAAATTAAACGGTTTGTAATTGGGTAAAATGGGTCTGTTGACCTGCATGTTAAATCCAAAGGACAAAAAAAAAAAAAAAAAAAAAAAAAAAAAAAAGAGAAAGCAGCTCACCTCATATCCTGCCGAATCCCACGAATCCGGCTGAAACGTCGCTTACCTCGGACTGTCGAATCCGCGAATCCTGCCCGAAATTCCGCCGAGGCACTGTACAGCAGCGCCGAATCGCTTTTCCGCTATTCATGCGACCTCTCCTCGATCGAGAGTTCAAACTCTTCGTTAAATACCGGCCCCAAGCTCTCTCACTGCTCTCGTTCACTCGCCTCCTCCAAGCGAAAGCCCTGCTCCCGTCACCTTCTCTGTCCGATCCAACTCAAGAAGCTGCCGACCCTTCCTCCTCCTAAAGCCGAACTCCACCTTCCCCGATCCAACCCGTCGGCATCCTCTCCATCCCGCCCTCTCTCTCTCTCTCTCTCTCTCTCTCTCTCCCTCTCCCATGGCGTCTTCAAATGAAGTTAAGAAACTGAGCAAGAACTGCATGTTGCAAGGAGTCACCTACTTCCAAATATCTCTAACGTTCATCACAGTCCTCACCACTTTCTTCTTCATATGCACCGCCCGTTACCCTTCCACTAAGATAATTGTTCTCCAACAAACTCCTCTCCCTCTCATGACCAACTTCTCCTCCTCTTCATGTATTACTACTTCCACTTCCATTGATCTCAACGCCAACCTCATGGTCTCATCTTCTTCTTCCCCGACGCTGACCAGTGACGAAGAGCTTCGAAGGTCGGCTAAGAATAAGGGGAAGATGAAGAAGGGATGGGGAGAAAGAAGGAGGAGAAGCAGTAATGATAAGTATCATTGTGATCTGTTTGATGGGAGATGGGTGGAGGATGGAGAGACGATGCCTTTGTATGAGGCAGGGTCTTGCCCGTTTGTTGAAGAGGCTTTTAACTGCTTTAAGAATGGACGACCGGATTTAAACTACACCAGGCTACGGTGGCAGCCTAAGGCTTGTTCCATGCCCAGGTTCCAGATTTTAATCCTCTCTCTCCTCTTTGATTTGCATGAATATTGATCATCATGAATTAATCGCAAAAAAGAAGAAGCAAATCTTCAATTATTAAAACTTTATTCTTATAATTCATAAACGGAAACTATAATATAAACATATTATTTATAAGAATTTTCTGATTGGATTTTTGTCAACATTGATGATTGAAGCGCTGCTTCTTCGTCTTCTTCTTCTTCTTCTTCCAGATTAATGCGTTTCCTGTTAGCAAAAGTCAGGCTTTGGCAACTGTACTGATATCCTATATGGAATTCATTAAACAAATTATTATGAAAAAATTCCTTTATTTGTTGTAATTCTCTAAAAATGATAGCATTTCTAAACATGGATATCAATGTAAAAATGACTGATAATAATGTTATTCCTTTTGGTTTCTTATTTCTATAAGAAATCCTTTGCGTGCAGTGCACCAGATTAGTAGTTTCTCTTTAATTTTTTTTTCTGTTTAAGATTTTTTAGTTAAATATGCTTAGCTGAGTTGGTTCCAAGAATCATGATTCATTAACTAAAGGCTTAATATAAACATTTTAAAAAGTACAGCTTTAAAGCACTCATTACTTCATACTATTTATATTTATCAATGGTAACAAATGCTTTTACAATGCGAAGTTGATATTAGCATAAAAATGCTCCAGGTCTATAAAAAGTTAATCATAATGATGAACTGATAAGTGAAAGAGAAACAACAAGAAAGAATATATTTTGAGAAATTCAAAAATTAGTAATTTATTTGCTATCAAATCCATCCAATGCTGTATCACTATTACCGACAGTTTAGATATGTTTTTGGGCGGTTTATAAACCGCTTGAATAAACCGTACAGGAAAGGCAAATCGACGGTCATTTTCCGGCGGCTAAAACAGTCAGAAATTAATGAACTCAAAGCCGCAGATTTTTACGCCGTTATATATATTGATGCCTGACTGATCAGGAATTACTGAGCTTGAGAATTTTAACGGTTAAGATAAATGAATCGATAATTTCTGTAAAATATTTCCTTCATTTCCTTTCTCAGCGCAGCTAGAAATAATCTTTGTAAGACAATTTTTTAACATTGCATATTTATTTTTAGAAAAAGTCGTCTGTTTTTCAGGTTGGAAGGAAGAAACCTGCTTGAGATACTGAGAGGGAAGAGACTTGCTTTCGTTGGCGACTCGCTGAACCGAAACATGTGGGAATCACTGGTCTGCATCCTGAGAAATTCTTTGAACAACAAAAATGGAGTATATGACATAACGGGCAAGAATGAATTCAGAAATGAGAACTACTATGCTTACAGATTCACTGTCAGCACTAAAATTGATTTATTAGCTCTTCCAGTTAGCGAAATTTTAACTGAATATAGCATATTCTGACAGGAATACAATTGCACAATTGAATTCTTTCGAGCACCATTTCTAGTTCAAGAATGGGAGATTTGGAGCTCAGATGGCACTCGAAAGGAGACCCTTCGGCTTGATATAATGGGCAAAACTTCTTCCTTTTATAAAACAGCAGATGTGATTATATTCAACACAGCTCACTGGTGGACGCATGAGAAGACTTCTAAAGGGTAAATCATGTCTAAATCTAAGACTTCGTTTGGGACGGCTTTTTTACTGCTTCTTAAAGCAGCTTTTTAGTACAAAAAATATAATTTTTGTACTAAAAAATTGTTTTAAGAAGCAGTAAGAAAGCCGTACGTCCCAAATGAAACCTAAATCTCCTCCCTAATTACCTCTATGTAAATTTTATTAGTTGATGAAGAATATTGAGAATTGCAGGGAGGACTTCTACCAGGAAGGTGACTATGTTCATAGAAAGCTCAGTGCTGATGACGCTTATCACAAAGCCTTGACGACCTGGGGTCGGTGGCTGGATGAGCATATTGACTCTAACCGCACCACAGTCTTCTTTAGGGGTTACTCATGGTCTCACTTCAGGTAACTACACCAAAAGACGTTAAAATCTGTTAATTTTAGTCTCTATGTGGGTATTAGAGACTAGGTTTATCAACTTGTTCTTAGGTGTTTTAATGAGTCATTAGAGCCTATGGAGAAGGAATTTAGCTATGGCTTCCCCCAAATAATATTTGGCATCCTTTTGATTTCCATTCTCTTCTACCCTCACCTGTTTTTAGATTTTGAGGCAAACTCAATGACACCACTTGGATTTATCCAGACCGGTTTAGCCAACCATATCCGCCTTCTTATGGTGGCCGACCGAACATCTTACTACTAGTCTGAAGTTGCTCCTCCCTAGGCACACTACAGGAAAAACGCTGAAAACCGGCGGTTTTTTTCGGCGGTTAGTGTAGAATTACCGGCGGTTTGGTAACCGCCGGTAAAAAAGGCGTAGGAAACCAATTCCGACGGCTTTTTACCGGCGGTTTATTTTTGCGGCGGTTTTCCGGCGGCCAATACGCTGCTTAATCCTGTTAAACTTCAAACTAGTTTAATTTTATATGGTTGTTCATTATGTTTGGTGTAGTCTATTATGTTGCTACATTTGTCTATAAAGTCAATACATGTAATAGGGGAGAATAGCAGAGGAATAATATTTGAGTTCTTTTACTTAGTTGTTTGGATTTCTGTATCCTGAAATAATTTCACCTGTATCCTGAAATAATTTCAGGTGGTGATCCCCCTCCCAAGAAGTTCTTGGGTTATGCGTGGGCTGCTAGTTTTTGCAGCTCGCGTGTTGTATCTGTCACCGCGTCACCCCTCCTTCGCCAGCATCTTGGGTTATATATATATATATATATATATCTCTGAAATTCTGCTAAGAGTCTGATAAATTCACTGTTGGTTCATCATCCAGAGGTGGGCAATGGAACTCTGGTGGCAGCTGTGATGGAGAGACTTTACCGATCCTCGACGACAAGCATCTGGCAAAATACCCAAACCTCTTGAACATACTCGAGTTGGTCATGTCGAAGATGAAGACACCTGTTCTCTATCTTAACATAACAAGAATGACAGATTACAGGAAGGAAGCGCATCCTTCCATGTACCGCTTCCCAGAGACGAAGCAGAGGGTAGTGAAGAGCCAGGATTGTAGCCACTGGTGCCTTCCCGGGGTCCCTGACGCATGGAATGAGCTCATGTATGCTATGCTTTTGAAGAGATTGAGAAGGTGAAGAAGGATGCAATAGTAAGCGGAATCTTCAAGCCTGGAGATAAAGGAAACCACCATGAAACTTTAGTTGTTACAGTCGCTGTTAGTCTCACAGGAATATGATCATGTACTTTATATTACTCTGGTTTTGAATTATTTAAACAGAATTAACAGATCTGGAATACCAAATTTTCTTCTAGATTAGCCAAGTTTAATGAAAGTATTCACAACTTACTATGACAGATACACCATATTTACCCAAATTTTCAGGTTGTTTCTGATGTTAAATGTGTTTCAGATGTTTCAGATGAAGATATATGGTTTTCATGCAACCATAGTGGTAACTTCACATTACCAAACAGTTCTCAGTTAGCAATACATTCGGCTTCTTCATATACAAATGAAGGCTTGAATTTATACTCAAAGTTTTATTTTGCATATATAATCTCATCTAGGTAGTAGAAGTGGCATTGAAAATTAATTAAAATTGATGGTTTTGATTCCAATTCCAAGAAAACCACCCACGTACCAGACCAAGCAAAAGAGTAAGCTGCTTCCTGTGAAAATGCCTCTGCAACACATAAATGACATCTTCTACCTCAAATGGTAGGACAAAACACACTCTTGTTGAAATTTTCTGCAGGAAGTATGGCAGAAAAAAGAACATATTGGAAAAACAATTGTTACATGTTTTATCTTACAAGTTTGTCTAAATAAAGTATTCATTCTCCTCATAAGCTATGTTGAGAAGCATATAAACCGTACATAAAAGCCATTGACTTTGAGAAATATATAAACTTCTTACTAGTTTCGGTCTCAAATTTCTGCAGAACTCTTAATTTGGTTGATTTATTGATTCCTTTTCTACATGCAGAGGAATTCATTTTCTACATGCAGAGGAAGAGGGCATGAATTTCAAGAAAAATGAAAACAAATGGAATCTACCCCTTTTTTTCCTTTCAAGACAGATTCACTAATTAAAAAAAAAACAAAAAAAGAATTTCATTGACATGTATTTTTATTGACCAATTAGAATTGTCTTCCAAGATCTATAATTATCTCAAAAGGTCCAATATACATACATTATTAGACCTCCTGAGTCACAGTCAAGAAAATCTTATGAAAATGGAAGATTTTCGCATAACCATGGTGGAAATCACAAAGTGATTCATAAATTAGGCAAATAGTTCTAAGTCTCCAAAACAAAATTATGTCAGCTACAAATGGTAAAGATAAACCAGCAGAAGCTATGATTTAGGTTGGTGGTATGGCTTATTTACTCAGCAGTTGTCAAACAATTAAAAACTATCAATTTTCTCTCATGGAAATGCCAGTGTTCAGGCATGTATTTGTATTGACTATAAGCCCATAACTGTACCATGAAATTCATGGTTTATTTGCCTTTTCAAGGGTTAATCTCTCGCTTGGAACAGTTTCATGATTAAGGAGACAAAAAATGTACGCTTCACTGATCTTGTTGGAACGGGCATTCAAGTATACCCCACACTGTATTGGCTGGAAAAGCAGTCCAGGAATTGGGCAATTGGTGCCAAGCAGTGGGAAAGGTTACAGTAATAGTACATCTCGTGGGAAAGAGAACCAGCTTTTTGATAATACTACTACCACAACAACTTTAAGCCTTTATCCGTCGGCTACAAGAATCTTTTTTCTTCATTATGTCATGTGAAAAATCAAATTCTCATTTAAATTTATAAAGAAGGATCATTTCTACTATTTTCTAATCAAATCATTTTAGGTCTGTCTCTACCTTTCTTAACACAAGACAAAACTAACACATCTACTCCCCTAACTGGATGATTGGAAGGCCGCCATTTTATGTGACCAAATCATCTAAGGCAGCTCTCTCTAATCTTTTCTTCCACTAGAGCTACTCTAGTCTTTTCATGAATATGCTCATTTCGTGTCATGTCTCTTAGAGTAAAGCCACTCATCCACCTCACCATTCTCATCTCTGCAACACTTAACTTTATGCTTATCTTTTAATGACAAACATTCTGCTCCATAAAGCATTGCAGGTCTCAGCACTATCTTATAGAATATTCTCTTAAGTTTAAAGAGAACTTTTCTATCACACAACAAGCCCATTGCATTCCTCAACTTCAAACATCCAACTTGAATTCTACTAATAATATCCCCATCTATTTCACCAATGACATTTTAATATCCTCAGGATACAGTAAATCCAGATTAATAGGATTTACTAAATCCTTCTTGGAATCCAAAAAGGCCCTAATTTGAACTATAACTGTCGACTTAGAAGATGATCAATGAGTTCAATCCAGTTATGCATTGACCGACCCATATAGTGCAATGCAATCTCCACGGAAGTCAAACCACACAGAGCATCCTTTACTGCCTGATTGATTAACTTGCCGATAGACAACAATCTTGAAGCAGCCTTGGAAGGATCTAAACCTGTACAAACAGAATAAACCACTGTTAAAGAAAAACACAATTAAATGAAGAAATGTCATTTGGGAAAAACCAAACTTAAGAAATCAGACCATTGATCTATTTCTTTGATTTTCATAAATGCCTTCTGAAAATAATATTGACCTAAGGACATTTGCCTGAAAATAGATCATTATATCATAGAGATAAGGATCAAAATAATCCCCGACTATATAAAACTCTTATTTTAATCCATTAAATTTTTAAATAGAAACTTAAATGATATGACAAAATGATTGTTTTGATCCCCATTTAAAGAGTTACGGGGCTAAATTGGTACTTTTGTATAGTTGAAAAATATTTTTATAATTGAGAGAAAATTAGGATACAATGGAGAAAAACGATTCATGTAGCCGACCCCACTAGTGGGATCGATAAAGACTTGATGTTGTTGTTGTTGTTGTTGTTGTTATTAGAAGATCAATATGATCATTTTTCTCCTACATCATATTTTATATATATAATTGATCACTATTTATTTGCGACTGGATTTTCAAGTTGGTTGTTCATTATATTCGCAATTATTACTAATTTGTGGACGAACACCTCTGATAATTGCATCATATTAGTTTAAACTGTATCTAAAAATAGTATTTTAATTGAGTTAAAACTTCAAAATGATGTTTTATACAATCTCTAATAATTTGGTTATATTTTAAAATTATAATCTGCTACTCTCGGAGCCAAGAGCAGCTTCTGGATTACACATACTAATGGTTCGCCTTCATCCCCCCCTACATCTTCCAGCGCATTTTCGAGAACCTCATCTGCCTCGTCAGCTGCATCCTCATCCTCAGCCTCAATTAAGTGTAATTGGGGTCGTGTTGGACACTCATTCGATTTATGTCCTTGTTGAAAACACCTGAAACATTTAATTGTTGTGGGTTTAGCATAAGGATTATCTTTGGACTGACCTTTGAATTTCGGCGTAAACTTAGTCTCCCCCGTCTTGTTGACAGCATTGTTGGGTATGTAATTCCCTCCACCGCTGGATTGTACACGTCCAGTTGGAGCCATATTCAAATTAGCTGGACGATTGCTGTCTGAGGCGTGTTCGGTAAACTTTTTCCCTTGGCTACTCTTCCCATGTCTGGACATTTGCATTTCCACCCTTAAAGCATAGTTCACCGCTTGAGACAATGACCAAACAGTGTTTAGCTCCAGTTTCTCTTGTATAGCCTCTTTCAGTCCCCCCACATACCTTGCTACTAGCTGATTCGAATTTTCATTTAAGTTATTTCTTGCGCACAGTCGGTGGAATTCCTCCGTGTAGTCACTCACGGATCTGTTTCCCTGCGAACAGTGTTGATATTGCATGTATAATAGTTGCTCATAGTCGGTCGGTAAGAACTGACCTCTGAGTAGTTGCTTCATTCTCCACCAACTGCGTACCGGTCCTTTGCCTTCTCTTCTTCTAGACTGTAATAGCTGAAGCCACCACGCACTAGCTCCCGATTTCAGTCTACAGGCAACGTACTTTACTTGCTTCATCGGCTCAACGTCCATGTATTCGAAGAATGTCTCCACGGCGCGCTCCCAATCTAAGTAGTCTTCAATGTGTAATCTCCCGTCGAAGAATGGGATGTCCATCTTCACGCGAAATTCGCTGTGTTGTCGATCATTCCCTCTTATTCGCCGCCGGTGATGATACCCTGTATCTTCCTCCGAATCCGAAAGTTCCAGTTCTCTGAACATTTCCACACCCTCGTCGGAATCAGATGCATCTCTGTTCGGGACCCTTCCTCCCTCAATTCCACGCCTACCGGTGGGATTAAGCGGCATTGTCGTCCGCATTGTCGGATAACGATCCAGTCGCATCAGTATTGAACGCAGGTCTCTCCGCACATCCGCCTGGAATTGTTGAGCATCGGCAACAACTTCCTCGACATGCTGCGACAGCCTCCGATGGTCTGCCCAAAGGGCTTCAAGGCTTCGTTCTTCCCCGGGAGCCACCCGTCTACTGCTTTCAGCCATCTGGCTCTGATACCAATCTGATGTAGGTAATCTGCACAGAAATGTTAGCTGGAAAAACAGAGAAAATTTCTAGGCAATGGAACAGTAGCAGAACTACTAGAAACTTTGTTAAAATGCAAGAACTGATGAACCACGGCTATTCCCGTGGTAATATGGAAGCTACGGTATACTATATCTGTAAAAAGAAACTATAGTTGGCTCATATGCCAACGGCCTAAAAACAGAAATAAAGTAAATGAGGGAAAGTGGAGAACGTCCTTAACAGCCAATGCACATGGCTTGATAAAATGTTCCTGCATAACACCGTATCAACGATGCTCCGCATCAAGTATACTCCGAACTCTGCATGTGATCAGAGTAGTATAATGTCTCCATCTAAGTATGATTAAAGTAAACATCTACATAGATAACAAGGCAACTAAAATGATTTAATTTCAAAAGAGATGGCAAGAGCGAAATAATAAATTCAAACTATGTTCATATTATGTTCAAACAATATTCAAACTTTGATTTAATTCATGCTTGAACTTTATTTTAACATTGATCAAATCTTAGCTGAGTTTGCAAGGTTCTAATATTGATCAAATCTTATTCGACTTGAGTGAAATGTTTTCAAATCATAATTGAAGCTTCATTGATCATCTTTTGAACAATGTTCAAAAATACAAACAATATTGAAAAAAGCTTCCATCATTATTTAATCATGGATAAAATCTATTTTGTTTAAAGCTAGAATAAGTTTCAATCAATATTCAAAGCTGATAATCAGATGTCTAATATTCTTGTAGAGTTCAAGTCTAAAATATGAATATCATTTTCAAATCTAGATGTTCAAATATATAACATCACCAATTTAAAAAACTATTCATAAACTGATAAAACTTTCATGTAAATCCCCTTAAAAAAAATTATCAGCAAAACCTCCGACATACGAGAAATTGTTCTGTGTGAAGTCTGGACGAAAAGAGTCGTGCGCATTGCTGCATATTTATTGTGTATTTATTAAGTATTTATAAATATTCAATAAATACATAATAAATTAATAAATACTCATAAAATATTTAATAAATATTTATAAAATACTCAATAATATTCATAACTAAATAATTGCTGACTGAATATTTACAAAATCCGAGTCCCGACTCCACGCGTAATAATTTCTCCCGACAGACCCCGACGCCCGCGAATTCAACCGCCTCCGGACCTAAGAGCCATGGGGCGATCAGCGAAGCGACGCCGCCTCCCTAACCTCCCGTTATTTTCTTCCTTCTCCCGCGCCCTCCACCTTACTCGCTTGACCTCCGCCGCCAGAGCTAGGGTTTCCGAGAATTCCCTTGCTTCCAAAGCTGCAGGTATGCTATGTTAATTTTCATCTATCTACAGCATCTAGCCTAAGGATTCTTCTTTTTTCATTCTACTTTGCAGCACAGAGTGATGATGCTGGTCTCAAACACCCCACGAAGATCAAACGGGTGGATTCATCCTTTTCCTCGGACAATAACGATGAAGAAGAACATCTGCTGGAAGTTAGCTTTAAAGCGACATAATACATTTTTTATGCTTTTTTTTTTGTGGATTCTTTATAAGCTTTGTCCTTATTCCTCTCCATTTTGGTAAGAAGGGAGCAATAGTTCAAGCGGATTTCGGGTTCTTTGACCCCAAGCCGGGGGATTTCCATGGTGTGAAGCTTCTACTCCAAAATTACCTTGATGAAAAGCCGTGGGATCTCAGTGGCTTCGTGGACCTGATTCTCGGGCAGACAACCGTAGGGACTGTCGTGAAATTGGATGGGAATGATGAAGTCGAAGAAGATGGTGACGAAGAGGATTTGTATGCTGTCATTAGCGCACTTAACTTTGGGCGATATGGAGTAAGAGCAAAGCTGTTTCTTTGCCTAGGCGAAGTTTCTGTTGTTTATGTTCTTAGAGTGTTTTGAATGCGAAGTCTTTTTCAGGGTCATCAATGCATTGGGGAGCTGAAAGAGTTTCTAGTTGGTGTTTGTGGTGATGAGAGCGTGAAAACAAAGCTGAAAGTGCTGTTGGAGCAGCAGGCAAGTGATGTTGGTCTTTTGGTTTCTCAGAGATTTGTGAACTGCCCACACCAATTGGTACCCCCACTATATGATGCTCTGTTTGACGAGGTCTCTTGGGCAATAGAAGATGAGGTTGGATGGTGATATTCTATCTTGTTCCGTCTCTCGTATTTTGATGCCAATTTTCCAATGATAAATGGTTTAATGACTATTCTCTCTCTCTCTGTTTATATATTTTTAAAGCCAACAAAAGAACTAAGAGACTCATTCTGCTTCAAGTTCTACTTGCTGATTACCAGAATATATGGGGTATTTTATCTGCTATCAATCATCTACCTTGACTATTGAGGGAAATAATAATGTATAGATTGTTCATGAAATGAAGGAGGGCAGAAACCTTATCCTTTATTTGTGAAGACTAATATTTTCTTTATACTGATGAACACCTTTCTATCAATTATAAATGTAGAATAAACATGCCAACCAATACAATGCAAAAGCAGGAAATGATTCTGATGAACCCATAATTTACCTCAAAGCTGAAGATGAACTTTTTCACGAGGTATTAGCCTGATCAATTATTTTTAGTATAAAATTTCTTTCCAATCATTTATGAACTTATCAGTGAACTTATCTTATTTCAGATGAGTTCATTTTCTTATACATTTCATCTTCATTCTTCACCATTTGTTCCACATGAGGTACGTTTATATTGCAGATTTTACCTCTCAGTTTTTTTTTGGGTAATTAGGTGGCCTTTAGAGTATTCAATCATGGTTGAATAAAATCATGAAAGATGCAAGTGTGATCATATAAAACATAATCAGTGTTTCTTGCATGAAATTTTGAGTGTGCAGCTTTTAAACTAAAAAAGGTTCTTCAAGCCATGACCTGGTTGGGTGGTTGTTATAATGCGTTGTATTTGATACTTTGTTTACCTCCTTTTGATATGATTTCTCTGTTAGTCTATATTGTTTACACCAGTGCAAAGCTACATTAGCATATTGTATAGAGTTTGCTAACTGCAAAGCAGACCTGGTTTAATTTGGCTTTGTTTGTTATTTGCGTTTGACACATATAGTCAGAGAAGTGTTATGAATTTCTCTAAATGAAATTAATTTATTTAAGTTATGATTAATGGCTAGCACTCAAAAAACGAAAAGCAAAAAAGCTTGACCCCCAAGCAAATTGAAGGTTAAGTTTTGAAGTCTGAATTGTAAACATGAAAATTCTGAATTTACTTATTTTTTGGGGTGCAGAGACCAGGGACAAGTATTATAAATTAATGCAGAGCAAACAAGATAGTTGTGAAATGCAAAGATAATCCGGATTTCTTTTGGTTCCATTAGAAAGAAAAGTGGTTCTCATAGCCATGACACATCTAAATACATATAGAGAGAAGAAATTTATAGGAAAATCTTATAAGAACATTTGTTTCATATGTTGCCAGAATGATCATTTTGCTTTAAAATGCAGGATAAAAGAGAGAACTTTATCCAAATGCTCCAATGAGTCTCAGAAAGGGATACCTACTAGATCATTTCATATTATAGTTCTAGGTATGAAGAGACACTTTAGACAAATGAAATCGGGGAAGTAACGAAATGGATAATTATAATGAGAAAGTACTTATTGGCATTGATCTTAATATTTTATAAGTGGAAGGGTGGCTGAAGGTCATGTTAATAATTACTTTGGAGGGAAATTTTTTAATGAGGGGTTGTTTAGGGATTTTGTATTTCTTCTTCTTGGGCTCTAGGCGTTGTTAGAGATTTGGAGAGTTGTTTCTTCCTCTCGAATTGAAGAAACTTGTATCTTGTATTGCTTTTCTGGTTCGTGGGTTGAATAGAAGAAATTTCCTTGTGTTTCTTTCCAATTTTTCTTGAAATTTATGCTTAATATTGCTGAAATCTCTCTGAAATCAGCAAGATTTCCCACTGTTTTCACCAATTTCTGCTAGGTTTGCTTGCGAACTCAAGTATTTTCCTTAGGGTTACTTGCGAACTCAAGTACTTCCTATCAGATGACTTGTTGGCTTTATGATTTGTGAGGTTAGTGTTTGAGGCATAACTTAAAAAATGAATATTCAGTTATTTGAAATTTTGAATATTGATAGATTATTGGATATCAGGGATTATCGGGTGTGGCAATCATGTGTGTTCGTTTGTTCCATTTTTAGTTGAATTAGAGGTACACTATGGCTAATTTCGAGGGTGTTTGACAACAGACACAAAATTCTATTGTCTTCTACCTATTCCTTATCTATCAATAATTTTGTGGCTTATGGGATGATGAACTCGTATGCATGCTGATGAGGTCATCGATCAAAGGTTCAAACATGTGTATCGCCGGAAACATCGCAGATCGATGGCCACGATTCAGAGCTTATATTTTTAGTTGTTTCTGCATTTCAATTTCTTGTATTCCTATTATACTCTTGTGTGTGAGTTGAGTCATGTTGGGGCCCTGAGGGCGATTTAGTCGTTATTTCCGCTCTTTATTTTACTTGTACTTCGAGACCTATATATAGGGGTCATCTCTATTGTATGAGGTTAATTACTATTTGAATGAAAATCTAGCTTTTGTTTCTTTGTTTCTTCTTCTTTTCTTGCATGAGAGCTTGAAGAGAGAGAGAGAGAGAGAGAGAGAGAGAGCTCAAGGGGAGCAAATCGCAAGGCCCACCAGTCGTTGGAAGCGTCCGCGGCTCGTGGTTAAATTATCATTTTATCTCGTAGTATTTTCTCGATCTCCTTCCCCCTCCACCACAAGAAAATCAGCCCAACCCCTTCATTGCCGCCACCCCTCCCCTTGGAAGTCCACCCCGGCCAACCTCAAGGTTTGGGCCGACCACTTCATTGGCAACTCCCCAACCGGCTAATCCCGCCTTCCGCATGCTCCCAAATTTGAAATTTGAATTTTGAATTTCAAATTCTTTCCTAATTGGGAAATCCAATTTATGAAAGTTTATTTGATCAATTTCAATTTCAAATTAAAGTAAATTGGAATCCTCACAACCTACCTCCATGTCATCACCCAAATTTGGAAACTCTACTATTTGATTTCCCCAATTCTCCCCCTTAGCATGTCGCCGGCCTCACCCAGGTGAATCCACAATTAGTGCCCCATTGATGGCACCTCATTTGAATTCAAATCCTAATAATTTTCCCTCTTAATTCCCTCAAAACCTGAAATAAACTTCAGGTTTTGTTTTACTCCCTCACCTCTCCCTCTCTCAACCCGTCGGCCCCCTCATTGGGCTTTCCCCTTGTTGTTTCCTATTCTAGCCCCAATCCATTATGAAATCAAATTCAAATCCTAAATTAATTCCCTCCAAACACCATTAATTCTATAATTTATTTCAGATTTATTGAGGAATTAACTAGGATTGAATTTCCCAAACCCTAATCCTCTCCTCTTGGAACCCGCCGCCCCTTCCCCTGTGACATCCCGCCAGCTCTCTCACTTCTCGCCTCCCTCCTTCTTCCAAAGCAAGGAGTCTCTACTACCTTCCCCTAGCTCTCCTCCACTTGAAGAATTCTCTACGCCAAGCATGTATGGCGGATCCGAAGCGTGATAGCGGATTGTTGCTCGACATCTACGGCCACACCCACGTCACCCGATCTCCTTTCTTTGACGTTGGATTTGGGCCCGGCGAAACGGTTGAGGATTACTTGAACCGCTTTCTTCCTACACTCATCGACGTCAGTGACGAACAATTCGAAGATTATTCGAGGACCATTGAAAGCTATCCATCCGTGTCTTCTCCACCATCGGCGACCTTCCCGTGGCTCAAGACTATCGGCGTTGCAACCTTCCTCATGGCATCGTTTGGTGTGCTGAAGATCTTCTCCCGCTAAGCCTAGTGTAGTTGAGTGATCAATCCCCAAGGTGAAATTCTCGTTATTAAATTGCGGATTGTTGATTAATAGCTTTTGGTATTGCTACTATCATTGGTTATCCATAAGTGTTAGGTCAATCTATGTGTACTTCTTCACCTAAGCTAGTTAACGACTACGAAGCTTTAATGATTTTCTTGTTATCTCAATAATTTCATAATTGTAATTCCATTGTCAATCAATTTTAACTTTCTGACGAAGCTCCTGCGCATGCGGTATTACATCACATGTTCTGCACTTTATTGGTATAAACTGTCATACTTCATCATAATATTGACTTAGAGATTAAACAAAGAAGATGAGTAGCCTTAAAATAGAATTACTTGAGGTATATAATTTCACAATTTTTGTTGAATCATTTTTTTCTTTTACTTTGCAATTTTATGGGTGCAAATTTGATGTGTGATTGCTTCGAGCATATATTATAAGTATAATTATTTAATTCGATCTCCTTTTATTGACAAGAATCATGGATTTCTCATTTTGATAATTTTTATACTGATCTTTTACAAAACTTGTCGTTTGCTTGCAACTGTTCTTAATTTTGTTCAAATTTGACACAGTTAAAATTCTAATTGTGGTCAATAAATTACAATGTTATGCTGAATTTATATGGTCTGAATATTTAATTGATTTCTTTTATTTTATTTGTCATTGTATTTTTGTTTTGTTTTCATTCTTGAATGTGCTATTTGGATTTCAAAAAAGCATGATATTGTATGATTCACATGCATGATATTGTTCTAGTTGCATAACAAAACTCCAATTCAAAATCAATTTGCGTCATTCAGCTCTCTCACTACTATGGTTACTAAGAACCATAGGCCAGGTCCTACCCGTCTGCTCTGATCCGCTCAATTAATTATAAACATCGCTGATTTCTTATATTTTGATAGAGATGTGGCTTCCAAGAAATACCTATTCGAATGAATGCGGAGATAAGTGCTGATTTGGTTGTGTAAATTGAGAGCATTTTGTTAGACCGTTCCATTCGAATGTTGGAACGAATGAATTTGGTGATAAGTGCTGATTTGATTGTGTAAATTGAGAGCATTTTGTTAGGTGGACCGGTCCTACGGGACCAGCCCGTGCAATTTGAGATGGAACTCTTCAGCCTCCAAGAAGAGCTGCACACTCCACCAGTTCCAGGGGAGCCGAATAGGAAGGATTTTTGGGGGAATTAAGAGGGAAATTTGAATGTAGGGACTGTTTAGAGATTTCCTTTTGATTTCTATGCATTAAATAGTTTGTTTTCATAGGGTTAGGGTATCTTGAATTTTGTTGAATTTGAGATCTTTTAGCTTTAGGTTTTTGGGCTTTACTGGCGTCTAGAGATTTGGGAGAGATCGATCCTCCTCTCGAATAGAGGATCAATTCTATCTTGCTATTTTCCGTTTCCCTTTCATCAAATAATACAAACTATCCCCTATTTTTTAGGGGATTTTGAGAAAGTGTGCAGTATTTGATATCATATTCATGTCCAACTATTTACATTCAAATGATAGAAATGATAAAATTCTATCATTTGTTAAAACATTTTTTCTAATTTAAAGCAACCAAATGGACTCTCACTGATTATTTCTTTCAGAAAGGACTGAAACAGCTCTGTTTCAGAGGACTTCTGTATTTGAAAGTGATAATAACTGAACTTTTGTCATTTCCTGCAGCTGAAGAATTACAGAGCAATGGGGTTAGTCATGGTCATAAATGCTAGTGTTATTCCAAAGTTCCGTCAAAACTTGAAAACTCTTCTGGCTGAAAGCTAGTGCTTGAGTTCTCATCACATAAAAAAAAAAAATTTTCCTTTCAAGAGGGAAAAGAAAGCAACAGAATGGTAAGCTACACATATTCCTAGTACGTTTTTCCATTTGTTTCTTCATCAACTTATTATGTTGTGATGGCATCGTTGTAAGGGTTTTGTGTACATTAATTATTCTTAGGACTGAAAGTTGCAACGTATTATTTGATTTTTTTGAGCAAGTCAATGCTGAAATTTTGTTTTTATACTCGAAGATGTTTTGTATTTTGTATTAATTATTAATGTGGTGGGCATGTAATCGGCATTTTCATAAGTCTCTTGTGGAAGTTGAAACCACTATCTTCTCTTCGTATTATTTTTTTTGAGATATTTAGATCAATTAAGGAAAATTCATATATACAGCACATATGGAAGACTCGAATCCAAAATCTTTTAGTTGGTAGTCGAAGCTCTCAACCAACAGATCAAGATGATCTACATGTCTTCTCTATGTATTCAGTTGTAGTTAAATGCACGGAATTAAGGTTTTGTTTGGGATGGTTTTCTTACTGCTTTTTAAAACAGTTTTTTTAGTTAAAAAATTAATTTTTTTAAGCTAAAAGCTGCTTTAAGAAGAAATAAAAAAGTCGTCTCAAAAGCCTAAGCAATGTTCTTCCATCAGAGTTTTCTTTTGGAGTATTTGATGCATAGTAAAATAAATTCAATTCATATATTTTGATCTTCTTTGAGCGATTTGTAGTTCTTTTGGACGAATTTCAAATTCCTCGTTCATGTACCTCTATTGAAACCCAATGTGCTGTCTCGAAACCGTGGCAAACTATTTGTTTAACTAAACATTAAGAAAAAAATCACATAATTTTTAAATACATTTTTTTTCATATTACTTTGTATGTAGAATGGTTTTTTTTTTTTTTACTTGCGAAAAATAGGAACGATTTAAATAAATTTTAAATAAAAAAATGAACCAATAGGGGGATTTTAAGTACCTCAATAATTTTTTTAAAAATTTATTTTGTTATAAATCAAACATCTTAACTTTCAAAGCCTTTGAATTTAATTTATTATACGCTCCTAATACTTGCAATTAATAGGTCCTAAAATTGGAATATTAATGCATAAATTAACTAAAAAAAGGGTAAAAATATGAACAATTTATTAACTCACAAAATATTGATTTTTTTCTTTAAAAATTCGGTTCACCAAAATCTTTTAATGTTTCTGAACTTTTACATAAAAAAATTATTACATGCAATTTTTTTTACTTATTTTGTTTATTGTTGCAGAGATGACAGTGCCCAAGTAGATGAATGATTTTTTTTTTTCTTACGAAAGAAGAAAAAAATAAAAAAAGATTATAGAGAATCATCTTAGATGATTTGGTCATATAAAATGATAGCTTTTTAATAATCAGATTAGGAAAATAGATGTATTAGATTTGACTTATGATAAGAAAAATAGAGGTAGACCTAAATAAATTTGATTAGAACATATCAGAAACGGCTTTTTTTATTAAATTTGTCTTTATGAAATAGAATTCAATCATTTTGTTGTGTATTGATGCTTTTCCGGAGTATTATTCTGCGCAAATTAAATGTTATATTTATGAGGAAAATCCAATCTATCAAGGCTTCAAATTTTAACTATTCATAATTGTTAGTGAGTCTCAATAACTATAAAATATTTGGTGTATAATGATTAGCAACTTCATAATAGTCTTCCACACACACAAGATCAAGAAGGCAAGCACACTGGCATAGTATAGATAATAATATCTGATTTAAAACATGAGGAAGGCCATCAATCAAGAAGATCCACAGCTGATCTTCAGACAACAATTACTAAAGAATAACAAGCTAAAACACAGAGAGATGAGTTTAAATATATAGATGGGAGTAGAGCAATCAAGCATCCAATAAGGTGAAGAATCCAACTCAATCATAAAATAGTCGCAATCTCCTGATGCAGCTTTGAAGCTTTGCACTTGCAAATCCGTCTGTTCTTTAGCTGGAATTGTAACTTTACAATATCACTTCCTTGCTGTTCTTCAAATTCAAGCTATGAAAATATGGCTGTCAAATGCCAGAATCAGAAAAAAAAATTACTTCAGATGACATATAAAATTGTTTTTTTTTTTGTTTTATATATAAAAGGAAGAAGAAAGCTACATAAAGATTCATTCACCTCTAAATAAAACATGGTTTACATGCCATCAAAGGAGAATCATAACAGTACAGTGAGAAGCAAGAACTGAGTAATACAGGTAGTCGATGTACTTCAAAGTTTACTTCATTAGTTAAACTATTTGAAATGATCATCCCCTATAAATGGATTAAGTATTATGTGCGGACACCGAATGCTATCCGGAGACCAACCAGAATATGCCACGTCACCTATGTGCTCAGTATTGTGGCTTGGTACCGCTCAGTGCCACGGCTTGGTACCACTGAAGTGGCACATTCTGGTTGGTCTCCAGATGTCGTTCGGCGTCCGATTTCCGCACAGAATAATTTCTCCTATAAATGTCTTGCTCACATTTTTCGGATGACAAGAAACTTTTGTGGTGAAAGTAGACATAAAATAATTAAAATAACTCAAATAAATTATGAACATTATGCATTTTGTATCACAGAACAATTTAGGCGGATAGCTTTTTCATTGATTTCTAAAACAGCTTTTTAGTACAAAAATTTATAATTCAAGAAAGTTTTTAGCTACAAAAGCTATTTTAGAAAGCATTAAAAAAGTCATCCAAAACGAAACCTTAGCAGCACTAATAGCACTAATAGGATTGTTCTTCTGCCATACTCTCAGTAAACTATGCTGAATGCGCTTTATTCTTTGAGGAAACATCTAAGTATCTTCATTAAAATGAATCACTTGTTAGAAATGAGATGTCCAGTTCAAATGATTTTCTTGAAATGAATTTAGTTCAGATCTACACATAAAATGAGTAATTCTATAGCTCATAACACTAAAAAGGGAGCAATAATAGATAGATAACAGCTAAAACTGCTTGTTAATACCTACCTCTCAAGTGTGGAAAAGAATAAAAGAGAGCAGAAAAAAAAAATAGAAAGAAATCAATAACTTCTCCATTAGAGGCAGATTCATTTAGTCTTTACACGATGAAAGATAAATTTATGAGAAATAAAGCTGAATAAGGGAGAATATGCATTCAAGCAAAACAAAAAATCTCTCTCTATATATATAGAATGTGCATGATCCTAAGTAGTAAAATTTAGATAGAACTAAACTATAAAATAATGTAACTTATAAATTAGTGACTTCAAACTTTGAAGTGTTCTTCATGAGTTAGAATGAGGAAATATAGATAGTGGCGTAACCAGATTACTACAATATTTATAGTCACACAAAAAGTAGAAAAAAATAAACAATTAAGAAGAGGGAAGCTATACTGCTGTCGATCACTCTACATAGCACTGAATCAAGCACATTACATGTAATGAAATACTAAATAGCTGGATGGGGTTGCTATTTAGATAATACTGATATCCACATTATAGTAAACCAAACAGACTCCTAGGGGTTGCTTTGTATCCTATTTTAGGTAGGATATAAGCAAGATTTAGCTTAACTATTACTAAACTGAGCATAGTGCCTGACTCTGATTGGAGGAGCACGAAGGCCTCGAAGATACTCACTCACAAGCTCAACAAAATTTGAAATTACGTAAGTCACTAAAGATTCAAGGTCGTGAGAAATTATTTCACCCTAGAACTTTCCATGTATGAGACATGCTTTTAATTCTTCATAGACCTATTTTAGCCCGTCGTAAAAATGATGGAAAGTTTGAATCAACGTTGACTGGATCGTTCATCATGAAATTGATTTAATAAATCCTGTTTCAGCCCCATTATGGATTAAATTCAGGATTTATTAAATCCCACCATGCATAGAGTTTAAGAGATTTAATGATTTATCCTCTCATAAATCTTGAATTCAGAAACAAATAATCAAACTACTATCAGAATTTAGCAATATTTATACCAAACAGTTCAAGTTTTAATCATCTTAAGATTTACCAAATCCTACCTCAGTTTAGATCCTAGCTTTAAGATGCTTGAGTTTAATCCTCTCAAGATTTATATAGTAGTAAGCCCTCCTTAGTTCTAGTTTGATTTCATCTGGGTGCTGCCCAAGCCGAGCAATATCTAAAA